TTTTCGCCTCTTTCTTGCCTGGCGACCTCCTCTGTGGCTCTATCTGGACCAGTCAGTAAGGTGGACATCACTTGGTTGCATCACTAGAGGCGCTGAGAGAAACGAGGAGCAAATGAGCAAGAAAGTCATTGGCCTCCTGTAGGTCACCACCTGTCCTCCCTGCTCCTGGTCCTCCTGAGAGTGCCCAGCTCAAGCCGGTTCTGTTGTGATCTGGGTAAACCAGCCTCAGACAGGCTGCCATGGGGGGATGGGCAAGGACCTCTGTCTGCTAGTTATTTGGAGGAGCCAAATCCTCGACCCTCAGCACTGAGTCCTTCTCTGACAGGCTGGAGAGGGTCATCAGAGGCTCCGACTCCTCTCCGTCTGTGCACTGTGATGAGGGACAAGGACTCTGTTGGACCAAACTGGAAAAGGTTTCTGCTTACCTCCCCAGGGTTCGAGGTCTAGACCCTGACCTGAGCCGGTGGCTCTCTGGGTCGCAGTCCTGTCTGCCTCTCTGCCTTTGCCGTCACTTGTGTACTGATGATTCGTCCCCTTTGTTTTCCTGCTCCCGCCTCTGGGTCTCATGTAAGATTGCTCACAACTGTCTGTGGGATAAGCTCACGAGAGCAGGAACCAAGTCTGTCTCGGTCACTCCCAAGTCCCAGAGACCAGCACCCAGAGCAAGGCAGGCCTTGAAGGAGTACTCAGTCCATGAGGGGACAGATGAATCATGCTGCTGCTGGATCCCAAAGCTGAAGGCGTAGAGAGAAGTGGTCAGGGATGACGCCTGGCACTGGGTCTCCCGTTTCCTGCATCTGTGGAGGCTGCAGATCCGCACGCAAGCGGGGTGTGGCCCTCGGGCTCAGTCTGCAGAAGCAGCAGCAATGCTTGCTCGAGGAAGGCTGCAGGTTTTACTCATTTCTCTTGGCCTTGCTTCTCCCCTGGCCTGCACCAGCCTCTGGGGACCGATGGCAGTGAGACCCCCACCCAGCTTCCATCCTTGGCACCGGACTCCCATCCCCGTCAACGTCTCACTCAGTCCTCCCGGCATGCCCAGGGAGTGTCTCAGGGAGAGTGACCACCAGGCCTTGTCATATTCTGCTCCTGCTCAGGCCTGTTTTGCTGATGGCCACTGTCCTTGAAGCCGGCTAAGTGAATGTAATGGTGTGGCTGGTGGCAGGCTTCAAACGTCAATGTAGAGGTGCCCAAGAGAGCCCAGCTCTGCTGGCCCTGGGCACAGAGAACTGTACTCTGTCCTTCCTCCCTTCTGGGACTCACCTCTACCACTAGACCCTAAAGCTGTGCTGCCTGTACCTCTGTAGCTCACAGAGAGTGGGCAAGGACATTTTTGTTTCCTGATGCCTATGGCCATCTCTACTTTAGCTCAGTCCAAACCCAGGGTCAAGGAGAAGGACTTTGATCTCTGGGCGCCTCTCTACCACCTCTTCTTGGTCTCTAGATCCTTTTCCCAAATGTAAGTGGACCCCTGGAGGTGGCTAGAGCCCTAGTTAATTAGACAGGACTGAACTTGTCTGTGCCCCAGCTCCGGACAGTGGAGTGGGCACCTCAACCTTTTGAAGGAAGTGGTGGCCGCATGACTAATGTCAAGGTAACCGATTTCTTTTATATACATATAAAAGAAATATATATATATATATATATATATATATATATATATATATATATTTAGTTATTGTTAAACCTTTATTTTATTTATTTACATGTGGTGCTGACAATTGAATCAGACAAGTGCACTACTGTTGAGACACAGCCCCAAGGTAACCTAGTTCTGTATTGTGATTTGTGTCCCAACCTCATTCCAGGGCGTGCCTGGGGTCATCATGCTATGTCATGAGGTTTGGAAGGTCACTATCAGCTGACTGCTAAGCCCTGCCTCTGGTTGCCGGGTGCATGGACACTCGTTCATTCACCAACTCACTCAGCACACTTTTCTGAGCACCTGTTAGGAGCCAGTCACTGTATTCAGGGCTGGGTATAGGAAGAGGGATCAGACATGCTGCCTTCTCTGGGTGGGTTTTGTCTTATTGAACAGGGGACACAAACAACCTCACTCTGGCTTCTGCTAATGGGAAGCACCTGCAGGCGATGGTGAGAGGAAGGAAGACAGGTGGCAGCTCCTGTTGCCCAGGCGCCCCTCTGCTGGGTTGGCAGTTCTGTCCATCCACAGAGGGCTGTGGTCCCCGCTGGGTGGCCCTCTCCCTCAGCCCCTGCTGGGTTCTGAGTACTGCCCCCTCTTCTTTCTGCCTGAGACTCAGAGGTGGTGAGGGCTCCCTGGTATTTCTAGTTGCAGGTTTTCTGTTCATCTTTGTTGGTTTCCCTTAACTCCCCCTTTGCCTTTGCGAATTTTCCCTTCATTGAGTCACCCCCAATTATGCCACCCAAGTGTGCCATCTGCCCGCCACTGGTGCTGTATCAGCCCAGGGTTCTTCTGCTTCCTTTGGAGTAGAAGTCACCAAGAGGGGATTGGCACCAAAGGAACCAGGCTTTATGGGGGCTTGTGCTCTGGCACAAGAGAAATGGCATGTGGGACAGGGTTCCAGACCAGCTTTTGGAGAGGTGTCAGGGAGATCTGTGTAGTTTGGCTGGGGTCTGCCCAGGTGCATTGGCGGCTGCTGCTCATGGTTCAGGATTTTTGTTCTCTGCAACAGGGTCTGCGCCCAGCGCACTGATCTGCTCATATGCATTGGGTCGCTTTGCGCTCAGCTGGGTGGTGAGAGGGTTCGCTCTCACCACCCCAGGTACGATGCTTAGAGCCCGGAATTCTGCTCACTCAGAAGCGGCTGTGGGGAAGGCTCTTTGCAAGATTTAAAGGAAGCGGGTGGCACAAAAAGAGCTAAACTAGCTTCTCATTAAAGACAAAAAACATAGTTGGGAATCAGGCCTCTCTTATTCTGCCTCACTGGGACCCTGTGGCTCTGCCATTTCTTGCTTATCTTTGCATCCACTGTGCCTGCAAGTCGACAGTCATTAAATGACCAGATAATTAATAAAAATGTGGTACAGCCCATAACGGCATTTTAGGGGGGCAGGGTGAATGTCCAGCCTCCCACCCTGCCTCCGGATACTCTGTGTGCCTGGCACATTTGAGAACACAGCGATAAATAAACATGCTGTTAGTCGGTTTTAGGAAGTTTGGGGCCTCTCCTTAGAAACTGAGTGCCTTCTCATGCTAATTATTATGAGAGTCAAAGCCACAGTTTCTGTGATTATTAGCAGTTTTCTTGTCTCCAGATTCTTCTTTTTCTGAGCTGCTGTGTTCCCCAAATTTTGATGTGATGGGGTAACAAAGTACAGTGTAGAGAGAGAGCCAAGGGAGGTAGGAACCAAGGCTTATCTTAGTTCAGCCAACCGCAGCTCCCAAGTCCCCCGGGTGGGACAGGGAGACCGATGAGACCAGAGGAGAGTCTGAATTCTCAACTGGAGCACTGGCTAACACTGGAAGGTTCCGGGCAGTGTGTGCTGTGGTTTACATGTTAAAGTAACCCCTCCCTGTGAGAAGGACAGGTTGGACATGGACACAGAGAAACTGGGAATGAGTCAGGAGGCTCCGCAGTCATTTGGGGTGTGATGGTGGTGGCTTGGAGAGGGGCAGATGTACAGACAGAGGGGTCAAGATGTATAGCCCTGAGGGGGGATTTTTGTTATTGTTGTAGTTTTTGTTTTTCATTTTTTTCCTTTTTTTTGTGGGCTCTCTCCCAACCTGCGAGGAGGTCCACAGAACAGGGTAGAGGAGAGTGTGGCTGCGGAGTCACTAATCAAGACCTCCGAAGACCAAGCAGGAAGCAGGTCTGATTTTATTGTGCAGTTACCATGTACATACACTCGGGCAGTAGCTCGGCAGAGTACTGGCAGCCACCAATACAATTTCTGGCTAACTGTCCTTGCAGCGACCACTCGAGGAGTGGGCCATGGAGCAAGTGCAGAGACTGCAACACATGGCCCCATGCTCAGGGCTGTGCCTATGGGGTAAGCGGTTTGCAGCTCATGTGCCTAGCACGAGGGGTGTGGCCTGCCACTCAGATGCCCTTAACGTATGCCATGTATGCAGTACTCCACTCACTTGTCTCCACACAGAACCATCGGGACTTCTCTGAGAAGGCGAGGAGCAGCTCTGCTGGTAAATCTGTCCTTGTTGATAGCAGTCTCCAAGATATTTCTGTGGTGCTCTCAGACCTTGAAGTCCAAGTACAAAGAGTTCAAGATCAAAATCATTAGATTGTAAAAAAACCCAAGTGGAATTGCAAAAACTGAAAACAGAAATGCCCCAAACATAAACAGTTATATGAATAAAAAGAAAAATGCTAAAACCCTAAAAGAAAAATTGGTAAATCCCATGAACCCATAGACTCCTTCCTGCAGACAGGGGCACTTGGAGGGACAAGGTCCTCCAGTTTATGTCCTTGGGAGATGGGACCTTTTCCCTATTCTTGGCAGAAATCTCCATGAATTGGCCAATTTAAGAGTATCTTTTTTTTTAAAGAGAGAGAGAGAAAGAGAGAGAGAGAGAGAGAGAGAGAGAGAGAGAGAGAGAGAATTTTCTTAATATTTATTTTTTAGTTTTCGGTGGACACGACATTTGTATGTGGTTCTGAGGATTGAACCCATCGCCATGCGCATGACAGGCGAGCCCGCTACAGCTTGAGCCACATCCCCAGCCCAGCCACATCCCCAGCCCTAAGAGTATCTTTTTTTTTTATTTCAGTTGTAGATGGACATAATATCTTTATTTTATTTATCCATTTTTATGTGGTGCTGAGGATCCAACCCAGCGCCTCATGCATGTGAGGCAAGCACTCTGCAGGGAGACAGGGTCTCCTGGGTCGGAGGTTCACGGATTGCAGTCGACTTTCTGGGAGGCTCCCTACGTGAAGGACAGCACAGCAGATTCCCCTCTCTGTCCTTGGTTCATTCTCTGAAGTGCCCCTTGGCCTTCTTCCCCTTTTATCAAATTAGCAAGAAGCTGGGAGATTAAAAAGGAAGTAGGCGAGAAGGAGAAGCACAAAGGGAATTGGAAGAGCAGGGGTGGTGCCCTGGGCTGTTCACATATCTGGATTCTAGAGAGGACCCAGATTTGCTGGGGACAACAGCCAGGGAGACAGGGCCATGTGGCTGTCCCCAGCTCTGCTCCTCCTCTGCCTCCCAGGTGAGTGGACTGTGTATGTGTGTGTGTGTGTGTGTGTGTGTGTGTGAGAGAGAGAGAGAGAGAGAGAGAGAGAGAGAGAGAGAGGCTTGTAAGCAGGGAAGTGGAAGAGAAGGAAGCCTCTTCCCAGGAGCAGAGGGCCCCTGTCAGCTCTTACGTATGTGACATTTTATGGAATTCAAGATTTTTCAAGCCAGAAGGAGCCTGGAAGCTTCTCTTTGGTCTGGCTGCTCATCTGCTTCTGGAATCTTCTTGATTGGAGAGACTGGAGACTCAGGATGTAATTGACTCTGAAGGGGCTGGCTGTGAGCCTGGATAGGAGGACCCCAAGCTCTCCAGGCAGACTTCTTTCAGAAGCTGCACATGCGATGGCTGTGACATATGATTTGCCCCTTGGTAGATTCCCACTGTGGGGAAGTGTGATGCTGAGCTTTGTCTGGGGCTGGAAGGAGGCATGCTGGGAATAAACTGCCTCTAGGAAGGCACTGGTGCCAGGTGGGGGTTCACTAGTCCTCCAGTCTTGGGGGGCAGGCGGCAGTGGAGTCCTTGGGGGACAACATGGGTGTGGAGCAGTGCTTTGGAAGTGAGAATTTCCCCATAATGCAGGGTCCAGGGCGCACAAGGTTCTCACTCATATTAGGACCGCAGAGAGATGGTGGGCGCTTAGAAGGTGGGGGGCCAGGAGCCACTTTGCTTTGGCTCAGGGAGCAAAAAGGAAGGTGGTAACTGTGGACGCACAGCTTAACTCCTGTTTCTTTCTCTCTGTCTCTCTCTCTGTCTCTGTCTCTCTCCCTCTCTTTCACACACACACACACACACACACACACGTGCACACATACAGGCATACCATGTGTGCGCTCACACATACTCAACTTCAGACCAGGATCCCGCTGTTTCTGAGCTTGCTCATGTGGTGGAGCTCGGCTGAGCCTCCCCTCCCGGGCTCACAGCCCTCCGACCCCCAGCAGCCGCTCCTCCTCTATCATTCCTTCCACATCCGCATCTCACATTTTGCATCCCAGATTCAAATCCCTGCTTTCCTTCCAGGTCCCAAACCATCCCACTTGGTTACAGAGGGCAGCGTCCCTCGTTCCCCTGAATGCATGGTGACAGCTGACACCCAGGTGCCAAGGACTGTGATGGGTGGAGATGCCCATGCCCCAACTCAGTGTAAAGAAACCTATCAGGGCCTCCTCTGGACCCAGCCCTTCTTCCCACACGTTGGTTCTTCCTGGAGAGCAGTTAGGATTATAACCAGAGGTTTATTATTCCTTCCTCAAGGACTCATGAAGGGCAGAGGAAACCAGAAGTTGCACTTTGATTATTTTTGAAGTAAAATTTTAAATTAAGATGATTTTGCTTTTTCTTATTTTATATTTGATATTTCTGTATTTACATAATGAAATAGCCCTCTTACGACTGACCCCATAGGTCAAATGAGAAATGGTGGGAGATCAAACTAGAAATGAGTTCTTAGTTTATCTGTATTACTATTATGTATGAGTGCAGTTGGATAATCATTTAATACTCACTGCTTAATAGACTAAGCCCAGCATGTTGATGTTCTAAGTACTTTTCACAACATTTTTCATCGGTACATTATACCCACATGTGATGATGGGATTTGTTGTTGTATATTCATACATGCACAGAATACACAGTGTAACAATGTGATTTGGCCAGTATTTACCCCACACTTCCCCCTCCCTCCCTTCCTCCCACCCCACGGTGCCTTTTCTCTACTGGTCACTCCTTTGATTTCATGAGCTCCACCCCCCCTTTTCTTTTCCTTTTTCCTCTCTGGCTCCCGCACATGAGAGAAAGCATACGATCTTTGACTTATTTCACTTAACATAATGGTCTCCAGTTCCATCCATTTACTGACAAATGCCATATTTTCATTTTTCTTTATGGCTGGATAAAACTCCACTGTGTGTATATACCACATTCTCTTTATCCATTCATCCACTGGTGGACACCTAGGCTGGTTCCACTATTGTGAATTATGCTGCTCTAAACATGGTATACATGTATCCCTGCAGTAAGATGACTTCAGTTCCTCAGGATAAATTCTCAGGAGGGATATAGCTGTGTTTCTTTCTCTCCACAGCCTTTCCAGGTTTATTACCATTTATATTCTTGGTGACTGTCGTTCTCCCTGGAGTGAGATGAAATCTCAGTGTAGTTTTGAATTGCATTTCCCTAGTTGCTAATGATATTTAATATTTATATATATTTCTTGACCATTTGCATTTCTTCTTTGGAGAAGTGTTGTTTAATGCCTTTGCCCATTTATTAATTTGATTTTTTCGGTGTAAAGGTTTTTGAGCTCTTTGCATATTCTAGATATTAGTTATCTGTCAGAGAGTAGCTAACAAGATTTTCTCCCACTCTATAGGTCCTCTTTTCAAATTCCTAATTGCTTTTTTTTTTTTTTGCTGTGCAGAAACTTTTTAATTTGATCCTATCCCATTTATTAATTCTTGACATAATTTCCTGAGCTTTAGGGGTCCTAGTGAGAAAGTTGTTTCCTGTGCCTGAAAACTGGAGTGTTGGCCCTGTTTTCTTCTAGGAGTTGCATAGTTTTGATCTTTGATTCATTTTGAGTTAATTTTCGTGCAGGGACATGTGGATAACCAGTTTTCCCAGCACCATCTGATCAAAGGGCTACCTCTTCTCCAGTGTGTTTTTGGCGTCTTTGCCAAGGATTGTATGACTGTAGAGGTGTGGGGTTGTCTCTGTGTCTTCTGTCCTTCACTCTTGGCCTGTGGATCTGTTTTAGGCCAGGACTCTGCAGGTTTTTGTTACCACAGCTCAGTTAAGTCAGCTCTTGTGATCCCTCCAGGATTGCCTTTTTGTCTTAGAATTATTTTGGCTATTCTGGATCTTTTATTCTTCCAAATTAATTTTTAGGACTGTTTTTTTCTAGTTCTCTGAAGAATGTCATTGATGTTTGGTGGGGATTGCATTGAATCTGTCAACTGTTTTTGGTAGTATGACCATTTAAAGTGATATCCGTTCTGCCTATCCATCAACATGGGAGGTTTTCCCATATTCTCAGGTCTTCTGCAATTTTCCTATTCAATATTTTATTGTTTTCGGGCTGGGGATGTGGCTCAAGCGGTAGTGCGCTCGCCTGGCATGTGTGCGGCCCGGGCTCGATCCTCAGCACCACATACAAACAAAGATGTTGTGACTGCCGAAAACTAAAAAATAAATATTAAAAAAAAATCTCTCTCTCTCTCTCTCTTTAAAAAAATTATTAAAAAAATATTTTATTGTTTTCATTGTAGAGGTCTTTCATCCCATTGGTTGGACTTATTCCTAAGTATTTTATTTTTTTGAGGCTGTTGTGAATTAAATTGTTATCCTGTTGGCGTATAGGAAAGCTAATGATTTTTTTTTTTGTATATTGATTTGTAACCTGCTCCTTTGCCAAATTTGTTTATTAGCTCTAACAGTCTTTTGGTGGAGTTTTTTTTTTTTTTTTTGGCTCTTCTATGTATAGGATTGTATCATCTGCAAAGAATGATAATTTGACTTCTTCCTTTCTTATTTTTATCCCTTTTATTTCCTTCTGTTTCCTAATTGCTCTGTATTATTGCTCTAGCTCTATATTATATAGGAGTGGTGAGGAAGGACATCCTTGTCTTTTCTCAGATTTTAAAAGGAATGCTCTCAGTTTTTCTCCATTTACTATGAGGTCAGCTTTGGGTTTTTCGTACAGAGCCTTTATAATAGTGAGGTAGGTTCCTTCTATCCCTAGTCTCTTCAGTGTTTTGATCATGAATGGGGGCTGAATTTTGTCAAAGGCTTGCTCTGCATCTGTTGATAACTAAATGATTTTTATCCTTAATTCTGTTTATGTGATGGATTACATTTATTGATTTGCATATATTAAACCATCCTTGCATCTCTGAAATAAAAACCTCTTGGTCATGGTGTGCAATCTTATTCATATTCTGTTGAATATAATTTGCTAATATTTTATCAAGTATTTTTGCATCTGAGTTTGCTGGGGATATTGGTCCACAGTTTTCTTTCTGTGATGAGTCCTTATCTGGTTTTGGTATGAGTGTTATACTGGCTTCGTAGAATGAATTTGGAAGTGTTTCATTCTTTTTCTATTTCATGGAATAATTTGAGGAGTATTGGCATTAGTTCTTCTTCAAGATTTGGTAGAATTCAGCTGAGAATCCATCTGGTGCTGGGCCTTTCTTTGTTGAAGGCTTTTTATTACTGCTTTTATTTCAATGCTAGTTATCGGTCTGTTTAGGTTTTCTCTGTCCTCTTGATTTCAGATTTGCAGATAGCATTTGCTTAGAAATGTGTCCATTTCTTCTAGGTTTTCCAGATTATATTGGAGAATAAATTTTCAAATTGGTCCCTAATGATCTGCTGGATTTCTGTGATGACTGTGGTGATTTCTCTTTTTTCATCTCTGGTTTTATTAATTTGTGTTTTTTTCTCTTTTTCTTTTGGTTAATTTGGCTAAAGGCTTATGAATCTTGCTTATTTTTTCAAAGAACCAACCAGCTCATTGTTTAATCGATCCTTTGTATGGTTTTTTAATTCTCATTTTTATTGATTTCAGCTCTGATTTTAATCACCTCCATTCTTCTACTGGCTTCAGAATTGATTTGTTCTTCTTTTCCAAGGGCCTTGAGATTCATCATTAGGGTGTTTATTTGGGTTCTTTCTGATTTTCTTACGTAGGCACTCAGCTATAAACTTTCCTCTTAGAACTGCTTTCATGGTGTCCCAAGGGTTCTGATATGTTGTATCACTATTCCCATTTGAGTCTAAGAATTTTTAAATTTCGGGCTGGGGTTGTAGCTCGGCAGTAGAGTACTAACCTCACACGTGTGAGGCCCTGGGTTGGATCCTCAGCACCACATAAAAATAAATAAGTGAAATAAAGGTATTGTATCCAACTACAACTAAAAAATAAATATTTAAAAAAATTTTTAAAAGATTTTTAAAAAAATTTCTCCCTTGATTTCTCCTATCATCATTCATCATTCAAAAAGTGTATTGTTCAATCTTACAAAATTACATATAAACTATGTAATATATTACACAGTTTCTGTAGAGTTTTGCCATGTTGATTTCTAATTTCATTCCATTATGATCTGATAAGATGCAAGGAATTATATTGATTTTTTTTTTGTATTTGCTAAGAGTTGCTTTATGGCCTGTTTTGGAGAGGGTTCTATAAGCCACTGAGAAGAAAGTGAAATCAGCTGTTTTTGGATGAAATATTCTATATATGTCTGCTAAGTCCATTGATTATAATATTTTTCAGGTACAAAGAGTTTTACTGAGTTTTTATCTGGATGGCCTATCTAATGATCAGAGAAGTGTGTTGAAATCACCCAGTAGTGTAGTATTAGGGTCTGAGACTTTAATTTGAGTAGTGTCTCCTTTATGTAATTAATTGTACCCACATTCAGGGCATAAGTATTTATTATTGTTATATTATTTCTTGTTGGATTTTTTTCCCTGCCAATAGGAAGTGACCTTATCTCTTCTGATTAATTTTGGTTTGAAGTCTGCCTTGATATATATGAGAGTAGCTACTCCTCCTTGTTTTTGGGTTCAATTGACAGCATATATCAATTTCCATTTTCACTTTCATTTTCAGTCTGTGGCTGTCTTTGCCTGCAAGGTGCATCTCTTGTAAACAACATATAGTTGGGTCTTGATTTTTAGTCCATTCTGCCAGCGCTTGTCTTACAGTGGGAGAGTTGATCATTTACTTTCAGTGTTTTTGCAGAGATGGTTACTCATCCCTGCCATTTGGATTTATTTATAATGTTTACTTTGGTCCTGTTTCTCATTTGCTTAGCTGCTCTTTAAATGAAATTTGTTCATTTATGAGCTCTGGGGTTTGTTTTTTATATCTTCTATCTATGGTATTTCGTTAAGTAAGTTCTGTTTACATGTCATGAATTATCTAAGTTACTGCTTGTCTTGGAAGGTTTTTAATTTTCCCCTAAATTTTGAAGTGTAACTTTAATAGATATAGCAGTCTTGGTTGACACTTATTTTCTTTCAGGACTTGGAACACATCATTCCAAGTCCTCTCACAAAACTTAACTCAAAATGGGTCAAGGACCTAGGAATTAAACCAGAGACCCTGCGTCTAATAGAAAAAAAAGTAGGCCCTAATCTCCATCATGTGGGATTAGGCCCCAACTTCCTTAAAAAGACTTCTATAGCACAAGAATTGAAACCAAGAATCAATAAATGGGATGGAATCAAACTAAAAAGTTTCTTCTCAGCAAAATAAACAATCTGTGAGATGAACAGAGAGCCTACATCCTGGGAGCAAATCTTTACCCTTCACACATCACATAGAGCACTAATCTCTAGGGTATATAAAGAACTCAAAAGCTAAGCACGGAAAAAACAAAACAAATAACCCAATCAGAGAGCACTTTTCAAAGCACCAGAGCACATTGTAGCCTCTGGATCAGCTGAGATCCGATTGTTTTTCTGACTTCAGGATTTCTGTACCAAATCTGTTTCTCTCTGGATTGTCCCTCCTCTCAGCTGAAACAGCCCTGTCCCCTCCTCTGCTGCCACAGCTGGCTCAGCTTCAATGTATCCTTTCTTCTTTGTTTAATGTACCCACATTTCTGAGTCTCTAAGACACTCTGATTCTCCAGTTGAATCTGAGTGAAATTCCACCTTGCTGAGGAACAGGACTCCGGCTGCTTGACTCCTGAGCCGTGGACTCACTGGGGATGCAGCCCCCCTCTAATCCACCATCCTGAGTCACCCTCAGGGGCTATACTTTGAAAGAATAGGTTTGAGTTGCAGAAGATTCTAGAATACAGAGGCGGAAGACCAAATCTCATTCCTGATACAGTCTGCAGGACAAGGGATGGGGCCAGACGTTTGTTCTCTCTGTTCTCACCTTCAGCTTTAGTCCCCATGAGCAGGGTCCACTTGGTCACTCAGTGTGCTGCTCTCACAGGGGACAGGCTTCCTGGCCTCAGTCTCTGGACCCTTTGGCTGCCCAGTGTCCCTCCAGGTCCTTCTTCCAGGAACCTTTCACACCTCTCCAGGAACTCTTGCCCCCAGCTTTGGGCAGACAGCTGACAGGCCCACCTGGATGGAGACCTGAGACTCTGGGCTTGTGTCTTCCAGGCTGTTTGTCTCTGTGGGGCCCTGACTCTGTGACCGGCACCGTGGGAAGCTCTCTGAGCCTGCAGTGTCACTATGAGCGGGCATACAAGGGATATAGCAAATACTGGTGCAGAGGACAACATGACACCGATTGTCACAGTATGGTGGAGACCAAAGGAGGAGAGAAAGTAGAGAGGTATGGCCGCGTGTCCATCAGAGACTCTGCTGATGACCTCACCATAACAGTGACCATAGAGAACCTCAGTAAAGACGATGCTGGATCATATTGGTGCAAAATTCAGACAATATGGATCCTGGATATATTTTCGCGTGACCCCTCCTTCCAAGTCCAGGTGTATGTTAGCCCAGGTGAGCACTCCCTGGCTCCAGCAATGGAGCTGTGGGCACAAGGGTGGGTGCACAGTGAAGAGTGTCTCTGAGTCCTGCCTTGTCCTGAGCCTCAGGGGTGTTGGGAGGAGCCTGGGTGTGGACAGGGAGAGAGGTGGCTCACCTTCAGCCACAGGCTGAGCCGCCTTCCTCCACACTCCTTCTCGTCAAGCTGGGTGGACCGTGAGAGACCCCTGCCTCCTCCTGGCAGGTCAGACCAGGATGGGAAGACCTGGCACTTATTAGAGGTGACTCTCTGGCCAGGTCTGCTAAGGGGCTCCTTTGGTCCCCGAGGGGCTCCACCCAGGAGGGGGCCTGGGTTTGGCTTCAGGGAACCTCTTGATCTCCTCTGAGTGGCTGGTTCTGTGCAGTATCAGATCTAACCAGGGGCTTAGCACAGGCTGGGGACAGAGGAGTGCCTGATGTGTGACTTTGTCTCCAGAAGCCACTCCCACCCCCTGGGTGACCACAGCGCCCATCACGTCTGCTTTGCTGAGAGTGAGCAGTGGGCAGAATGACAGCATCGAGGACGTGCTGGCCCCCCACTCCTGGTAAGGCCCCAGCCCTGGAGACAGGGGAAGGGAGCCAGCAGCCCTGGGCTCGGGGGAACCAGAGACGGGAGTCATGCCCTGTCCAGCCAGCCTCACCGCTGCTGTCTCAGTGCTCACATTCTCTGAGGCTGCCTTTGAGTGCTGAGTCGGGGAGGCTGCAGACACAGGCCAGAGGCTGGCTTGGGTGGCCGGACAGCCCCTGGTCCCTCCCAACCCTCCTTCCCCTCAGGGTCCGGACCTGCAGCCCCTTCCAAAGGTCTTTGCTCAGCTGGGCCTCTTGCCACCAGGAGCTGCCTCTGGGGTCTGGGGAGACAGGTGGCTTCAGGCTGGAGTTTCAGTCTGTTTTCCCTCTTCTCCCAGAGATCCCCGGGAAGGGCTGCACTGCTGCCATCAGACCCTGAAGGGAGGGACAAGGGACAAGGACTTTGCAGTGAGAGTGAGGATTGGTTTCAAGAAGTTGGCATGCAGAAGGGACAGAGAGGGTGACCCTGGAGCTCCTGGGGCCTCTTCTCTGTCCTCTCCGTCATCTCTCCTCCGTGAGACCCCCTTGAGGGAGAGGTGAAGGGGCCACAGAGGTGCTCCCTGGGTCCGTTCTCTGTTGAGTTCTGAATTATTTGGGCTCTAAAATCAGGGCACAGGGAGAGGTGGGGAGAGAAAGGTCCTGGGGCTTCCCCTGCAGGAGGCAGCTCATGTCTTGTTCCCATGGCCCCCACAGGTCCCTGCTCAGCAGTGTCCACTTCCTGCTTCTCGTCTTCTTGAAGGTGCCCCTGCTTCTGAGCATGCTCAGTGCTGTCCTCTGGGTGAACAGGCCTCAGAGGGCCCCTGGGGGTGGACAGAGACTGCTTGTTTGGAACCTCTACAGTGCGCCACCCCAGAAATGCCCTGCGTAAGGACGAAGCTCCTTCGGACTGTACGAGAAGGACTTTTGACTCTGGACTCCAGGGCAGGGAGGCAGCAGTCACCAGCTTCTGTAGGGACTTCTGTAAGGAGGGGCCTGGGTCTTAGAGGGCTCTTCTTTGGAGTCCTCAGCATGGAAGAGGGAGTGAAACTCCCCTGGGCCCCTGTTTTGGGGGTCCTCTTTTCTCCTCCCGGCTCATGCCCACTTCCCAAGGCCAAGAATTCTCTGGGATTTTCATGCTCGTGCACAAAAGCATCTGAGGTCAGTTTCCCCAGGGAAGAGTCGCCTCCTTCCTACAGATGGGAGGCTCCCTGAGGAGCCTTTGGGCTCACAGGGCTCCACCCCCTCTCCTGGGACGACCCAGGGCTCTGGGTCCTGCTCAGGCAGCTCCTCACTTTCCTGAACACTCAGGGTTCCTTCCCCTTTTCTGGGGCTTTTGGGTCTCCCTGGGCTTTAAGCCTCGCTGGGTCCCTGTGAGCAGGGAGCAAGGGCTCAGCACATCTGCCTAGGCTGGTCATGGCTGCGTGGCTCCATGGGACGGGTTGGAGCAGCAATGGGAGGAGGAGGCGGTGGCTTCCGCTAACACCACTCCTGATCCTGGGGGTCTCCTCTGCTCGGTGTTGCCCAAGAGTCCATCTGCCTGAGACCACCTGTCAGCAGTCAGTCCCTTCCCCGGGGTGGGCAGCTTTTCACAGGCAGGGTGCAGGCTGGGAGGTGAGGAGCACTCTACCACCCGGGGACCCGAGCCCAGGAGGAGGCGCCGCTGGCTGAACGCCTCCGTTGCTCCCCGTGTGGCTTGCGAGGGGATTCCACTGTCTGCCCCAGCGTCACCATCTCCTCTCACTCCCTGCTCTGGGCCAGTCCTCTCCCTCCCCCCAGGCCACTCCTGCCCTGAACTAGTGATGCCAGTTTCCAGAGAGGGGACGCATCCAGAGGACAGCATGAGTGAAAACAGGGTAGAGGCAGCCATTATGGTAACCGTGGCCCCTGGGAGACCTGTCCGCAGAAGGGTGCTGTCCCCTGTGGTTTTCACGGTGAGCTGTGTCCAAGGTGAGCTGACCTGGAGCTAAGGTGGAGCATGTCACGGGGCAGAGGCTTGACTCTGGCCTAGGTTTTTATTTTCATTCATTTATTTTTTGAGGTGCTGGGATTGAACCCAGGGCCTCGTGGACCACTGAGCGGCACCCCCGCCCTTAAGCTTCTATTAAGAACAGTAGGGTGGGCTTGGCCAGAACAAGAGGAGATGGTGGGTGTCCTCTAGGAGAGCTTACTTAGCCAACGTGGCAGGCTCCAGCCTGAGGGCCAGAAGAAGGGGCGTTGTCGACAGATGTGGGCTGGTCAGCAGCAGGCCTGGGGATGCAGAGCTCACGTTTCTGTGTGTGACCGGGGTCACCAGGCAGAGGGTCTCGCAGGAAGCTAGAGAGGGGAGCCAGTAGAGTGTGAGGGCCGGGGAGGAAGGCGTGTGTCCAGAGCACGGGAGCCCAGAGAAGGTGAACTGGGCGGGGAAGTCTCAGACCAAGGACAGAGCCCACGGCCACCACTGTTGAGAGCCACAGCCAAAGGGGCCCCAGCAAACTTCCAGCTGCCAGCAAACTTCCAGCTGCTGGCTGATGATTGGCTCACAGCGGCCCCAGCAACATCTAGCCGATTGGCTCCTCTGCGGTGATGCTCATTGGACTGTTTCCCTGCCCTTTCAGACCACGGAGCTGCTCATTGGGGGACTTTTTTGGCTCCGCCCACGTGACCCAGCCAATCGGCCTCAAGAGCAGGAGGATTGTGGGAGGTGGAGAGAAGCTTGTGGGGGAGAGAGAGGCTTGGGGAAAGCCGGTGGTGGCAGTTGAGGCTCTGAGGGTTTTTCCTGAGAGACTATTTTGTTTGTCGTGTATGGTTCTAAAAATAAAGTTAGTTTCTTTTGACAAGTGGCTCCTGATTGTGCCCAGCCAGACTGCGGCATTTGGTGGCTCGCACGGGGAGCGACTGAGGGTAAGTGAACTGCTCGCCCCTGAGGGCAGGGCGAGAGAATGGGTAGCCATTTTAAGATTCTTCTTTTGTTATTTTGTTTCACTTTTGTTTTAAGTTGCCTGTCCCTGGAGATGTGTAAGATGGAAGAAAAACCGCTCACATCTGAGGAACAGATAGGGAGAAAGGACGGATGGACATTTCAGGAGGCTATTATAATGATTTTGTGTTGTTCCAATTTTGTTTCACTCAGTTTCAGTTTTGTTAGGCGTTATCTTGTTGGGTTGTATTATAGTAGAAATACGGGATCAGAAATTAGTAAAAAACAAACTGAAAGAGTGTTAAGTAAATTGTTAGAGGAAGGAGGCATCTCAGTAAAATCAAGAACAATCAGGGCATACGTTGATACAATACAAAAATGTAGCCCATGGCTTTTTAAGGAGGAGTTGTTAAATATATCACAATGGAACCATCATGGTGAAGATTTAAAAAGAATAGAAAAGAAAAGCCCAGGGACTCTGCCAGTTGGCACATTGCCATTGTGGACATTCGTATCTTGTTTGCTTAGTCCAAAGCCTTCAGTTCAGACAATGGTAGAGGAAGGAGAAGACATAATGATTCAAGTAAAAGAGAAGGTCTCTCAAGTTAGTCAGACAGAGGAAAAGATTCAAGTAAAAGAGAAGGCCTCTCAAGCTAGTCAGACAGAGAAAGAAAGTGTAAAACAGAAAAAGCCATCAGGGGGAAAGTTACAACAGGAGACTGCTACTAACACCTTTCTATCACCAGAGGGTGTAAGTGTCCAACCAACAGCACCACCTCTACAGGAGACTGCTACTAACACCTTTCTATCACCAGAGGGCGTAAGTGTCCAACTAACAGCGCCACCTCCATATGCTGGGAGGCCCCCAACCCCCGCAGTTGATAGTTGGGATCCTGAGACAAGGTCTCAAATATTAACATGCCCTGTATTTGAGGCAGGAGGGCAGCGATTTTACCAAGTTTTAAATTTCAAAACAGTGAAGCAGCTAAAAGAGGCTGTAACAACCTATGGTCCTCAAGCACCCTTCACTGTAAGCTTGGTCGAATCCATTAACAACTTGAACATGACGCCAGCAGATTGGGCTAATATGTGTAAAGCTGTGCTAAATGGAGGACAATACCTGTTATGGAAGGTTGCCAATGAGGAATTTTGCAAGGAGACGGCTAGGCGAAATGCAGCAGCTGGTTATCCTCAGAGAAATCTAGATATGTTGTTAGGAAAGGGACCTTATGAGGATCAGCAGCAACAAATTGCATATGATCCTGGCGTATACGCACAAATTGCTGCAGATGCAATTAAGGCATGGAAGACTTTACAAGGACATGGAGGTTTACAAGGTCAATTATCTAAGGTAATACAAGGAGCTAATGAACCTTATGCTGAATTTGTAGATAGGCTTATTCAAACAGCTACCAGAGTTTTTGGGAATACAGAACAAGCAATGCCATTACTGAAACACCTGGCTTATGAGCAAGTGAATCGTTGGTGCAGAGATATCATTAGACCATGGAAACATGAAGATTTAAACACATATATTAAATTATGTAGAGACATTAATGAACAAGAGCAAGTCGTGGCAGCTGCAGTAAAACAGGCTTTAGATGCCAGAGACATTAATGAACAAGGGCAAATTGTGGCAGCTGCAGTAAAACAGGCTTTAGATGCCAGGCCAAGAACATGCTACAATTGTGAACAAACAGGACATTTTAAAAGGAATTGCCCCATTGGAGGAGGGTTTAACAAAACTAGGTATCAAAGGAGTAGAATACCAGGTATTTGCCCACGGTGCCGTAGAGGGAGACATTGGGCTAATGAATGCCGTTCTCAAACCACCATAGAGGGTACTCCATTATCAAAAAACGAACAAGGACCAGGTGTTTATCCACGATATCGTGGAGAAAGGCATCGGGCTCCATTGCCAAAAAACGGACAGGGGGGCCCAATGCTCCGGGGCCCAAAACCACAAATATACGGAGCACTGGAGGAACCCAGCAACCCCATCAGGGTAGTGCCCAGGACACATTGTCCATCAGATCCCTCATCAGACAAACCAGAGGGAGCGCAGGGTTGGACATCTGCGCCTCCGCCAGAGCAGTACTAACTCCAGAGATGGGAGTTCAAATCATTCCCACAGGGGTGAAAGGACCTCTTCCCAAAGGAACAGTAGGCTTATTATTGGGACGCAGCTCTTCTACTCTAAAAGGACTTATGATAAGTCCTGGGGTAATTGATCCCGATTATGAAGGTGAAATAAAAATTATAGCCAGTTCTCCAAAGGGTATATCAGTAATTTCACCAGGAGATAGAATAGCACAGTTACTAATAATACCCAGCCTACATGATAAATTTTCCAGTCGTACTGTAGAAAGAGGTTCCAAGGGATTAGGCTCCACAGGTGTAGATTGGGCTATGCTTTCTTTAAATTTAGATTCTCGCCCCATGCTAAAACTAAATATTCAAGGACATGAATTTAATGGGCTACTGGATACAGGTGCAGACCTTAGCATCATCTCTCGTCAAGAATGGCCAAAACATTGGCCATTACAACAAGCCACTCAAACGCTTCGAGGCCTAGGAGTGGCGACTAATCCCCATAGAAGTGCAATGGTATTAGATTGGAAGGATCCTGAAGGATGTGAAGGAACTATACAGCCATATGTATTGGATCATCTTCCCGTAAATTTATGGGGACGAGATGTCCTAGATCAATTAGGTTTGACATTAACAAATAACATCAACCAAAATGCACCCACTATTATGACTAGACAAGGTTTTAGGAAAGGAAAAAGATTAGAAAAACAAGAACAAGGTATAGCAGCACCAATACAAATAGATCAAGGAACAGACAGACATGGGTTGGATTTTCAGAAAGGGCCACTGAGACAATAAAAATTACTTGGAAATCAGAAAGACCAGTATGGGTTCCTCAGTGGCCCCTGACTAAAGAAAAGATACAAGCAGCCCATGACCTGGTCAAACAACAATTAGCGGAAGGACATATACAACCTTCTGTGTCTCCCCATAATACTCCCATTTTTGTCATCAAAAAGAAATCTGGTAAATGGAGATTATTGCAAGATTTAAGAGCCATTAATAATGAGATGGTTATTATGGGACCTGCTCAATCAGGGATTCCTCAGTTGTCTGCTTTGCCAAAAACCTGGTATGTTTTAGTTATAGATATTAAAGATTGTTTTTTTTCAATTCCAATTCATCCTGAGGATAGTCCACGTTTTGCATTTACTATCCCTGCACTGAATCATGAAGGTCCTGATCAGAGATATGAATGGAAAGTACTCCCTCAAGGGATGGCTAACAGCCCAACTATGTGTCAAATTTATGTTAACAAAGTAATCCAGCCACTTAGAAATCAAAATCCTGAACTACAAATATTTCACTATATGGATGATGTATTATTAGCACACAAAGATAAAAACACATTGCTAGAATGTTATGCCACACTTACAAACTTATTAAAAAATTATAATCTAGAGATAGCAATAGATAAAGTACAATTAAATTTTCCAATTAATTATTTAGGAGTTCTATTATCCTCAACCATGGTCTGTCCACCAAAAATTCAAATACGAGTAGATCAACTCAAATCACTTAATGACTTTCAAAAGTTATTAGGAGACATAAATTGGATAAGGCCTTATTTAGGTATACCAACAGGAGAGTTGGGACCTTTATTTGATATCCTAAAAGGTCCATCAGATCCAAATTCACCCTGAATGTTAACGCCTGAAGCAAGAAAGGCATTAAAAATCATTGAAACATATATGGAAAATATGCATTTGGATAGAATTGATATAAGTTTGCCTTTATTATTTATTGTACTACCAACAAAAAATATTCCTACAGGAGTATTTTGGCAAGAAGGTCCATTATTATGGATACATTTATCTTATTCTCCTAACACTATTCTTACTAGGTATCCTGAGGCTGTAGGACAATTAATACTCAAAGGAATAAAAGCAGCAAAGGGAGTGTTTGGAATTTCTCCCAATAAAATTATTACTCCATATACTATGAATCAAATTGACGAGTTAGCTAATGAGTTAAATACTTGGGCAATAATCATGTGTAAATCTAATGTTTCATTTGATAACCACTTACCATCTAATCCTTTATTGTCTTTTTGGTCATTGCATCCTGTAATTTTTCCAAAAATGACAAGAAAAACACCTATCATGAATGCTCCAAATATATTCACTGATGGGTCAAATAATGGTACAGCAGCAGTAGTTACCCCTGATCAAACTTTTACATTTTTAGTACCCAAACAATCAGCTCAAAAGGTAGAGCTTAATGCAGTTTTACAAGCTTTTGTGATGTTTAAAGATTCTGTATTTAATTTATTTTCTGATAGTCAGTATGTAGTTAATGCTATAGTATCTCTTGAAGATGCTGATAGGATTTCCCCTTCTTCTACTGTTTTCTCTTTGCTTTCTACTATACAAAGTCTAATCTGGGACAGAAAAGATCCATTCTTTATAGGACATATCAGGGCACATACAGGATTGCCTGGAGCCCTTAGTTTGGGCAATGATTTAGCAGATAAAACTACACATGACATACATATTTTCTCTACACTAGAAGAAGCTATAAATTTTCATAAAAAGTTCCATGTCAATGCTAATACTTTACAAAAGCATTTTAAAATAACTAAGGAACAAGCTAGACAAATAATAAAACAATGTCAAAATTGTGTGACCTTTTTACCACAAGTTAATCTTGGAGTCAATCCTAGAGGATTGATACCTAACCATATTTGGCAGATGGACGTCACACACTTGCCAGAATTTGGAAAATTAAAATATTTGCATGTTACAGTTGATACTTCTTCTGGATTTTTGATGGGCTCCCTTCATGCCGGAGAAAAAACTAAAGATGTTATAGCTCATTGCTTACAAAATT